TAGGTTGTTTCCAACTCCTTGCTATTGTGAACAAAGCCGCAATAAACATGAGTGTGCATGAAATATATTTTTACAATGAATTTCCCACTCATTTTTGTCGTTGTATCAGTCTTCCAGAGCATCACCTGCCCTCTCTCCTGTGGTCTTTTTTTTTCCCTTTGTATTTTGTTCCTGTGTCTCTTAATGCAGTAATTGTATTACTGCCCTTAAAGGATGCAGTTGTGTTGTTTTTTTTTTTTCCCAGCAAGAGAAAGAAGAAGACTCTCTGTCCTCAGCCACTTTGCTTGAAATAAATTTAAGTGAGTGACTCTGGGAACAGAAGAGAGACCAGAGGCCCCACGGCAGGTGGTCCCATGATGGAGATGGGCCAGGGTGGCAGCTGCACAAGAACAAGCTGAAGCCACATACACACAAGAAGGCCTGACAGGAGTAGCTGACTGTGCAGATGAGAAAGGGGTTCTTGTCTCACTTCCCTGCAGGCCTAGAGCACTGTGTAAGCTCTCATACTATTGTCAATGGAGTAGCAGTAATAATTAGCCTCATCATCTGCCTGAAGCCCAGTGATGGTCAGTGAGGCCGAGTTGCCAGACTTGGAACCTGAGAATCTGTCTGGGATCCCTGAAGGTCTATTGTTATTACCATAGATGAGGAGTTTAGGAGATGTTCCTGGGATCTGTTGGTACCAGCTGGGATAGTAACTACCAATGTTGCTGCTGCTCCCAGTGCAGGAGAGGGTAACACTCTCACGCAGGTTCCCAGACATTGAGGATGGCTGAGTCAGCACAGACTGGGCCCAGGATCCTACAAGTGGAGAGACACAGAGATGGTAACCCTGGAGTCTAGCAGAAGGAGGAGAAAGCAGAACCCCAAATGTCTTTCCAGGACACCTTCCCCTGACCCCAATCCTTCACCTGTGAAGTGAGTGAGGAGGGAGAGTAGGAGAGGAGCCCAGGCCATGATGGAGATTTCCCTGAGTCCTGTCTTCTGGTGACCTCCTGCTGCTGCAGGACTTCCTCCTCTCTCCATCCCTTCTTCAAACTCTGAGGGAAGGGAGGGTCCATTCATGCAAATGAGTTTAATTTCAGTTTTCTGGGTCCTACCTTAGTCAAGCTCCTGCGCCTGTGGACAGCCAGAGAGGTAGGACACTGTTGTTCTGTGTAGTTTCGGTGGGTGTGGAAGGTCACAGCTGAGAGGACCAGGCTGGCCAGGGTCCTGCTTCCCAGCTGTGATCAGCCACAGTTGCCTCAGGAAGGGGTCATGAGTGCCCCCTGCTGCCCAGACTCTAACACAGCTGTGATGTGGTATGGAGATGAGAGGCCCTCAGAGACAGCTTCTGCCTCTCCACTACTCAACCCACTGCTCTGCCTACTGCTCTTCAGACCAGTTCCGGCCATTCTTTTATGTGATGTCCTCAGTAGCTCAGGGCAATCTATTTTAACTATTGAGTGTCCTAAGCACTGCATCTGTTCATGGCTTCAGTGAATCTACATGAAGTCATGACTGAAGAGAAGCTTCTCCTAAAATTCTTATTCTTAGGGAGGAAGGAAATGATGCAACAATGAATGAACATTTTTCTTTTTTAAAAAAAGTAAACTGGGGGTATAGGGAGAAAAATGTAAAACAATTATTAAATGAAAATTCACCTTTTCTGTAAACTTTTATTAAAATCACAATAAAAAAAGGAAAAAATAACAAACAAAAATTTCTTCTTATTTAATAAGATTGCAAGCAGCAATGTCATCCACTTATTAAACAACATGCCTCTGGAAACTCTATGAACTTTGATAAATGTCAATAGTTATAAAAAGGCTTCAGGCTTTTTGTTCATAGGGTCACTATGAATCGTACTCGACTCGATGGAATCAACAAGAAAATTGAATAATACAGTAAAGGATGATGTGATTATACTCTTTGAAAACATCATAGAGGGTCACTTATAAGTCTGTTC